TACTAGTTGGCTACAGAGAGCATCACATTTCAGCAAGGTCCAATTTCCCATTTTAAGAAAAGCAAACTCCTTCAGATATTTTTGATGAAAGCCCCTATCAACTCAGTTTTCTATCCAAAATATAAACAAAACAATTTCTAAAGAATGTCAAATAAAATTACAGCCATTCATTCTTTTGTAGAATTCAGAAATCCTTAAGAAAAATACAAACTTAATATCCAGTAGAAATTAATTGAAAATAAGGAAAAAATGTATTTTCAAAGACCAGGAATTACTGTTACTGACATTCAAAACAAGGCTATTATATGTATAACAAATAAATTTTTCCCCATAAGGAAATAACTTTAATTATTCCTTTATATAACTTAAATACAATTTTAAAATTTGTTTATAAAAAAAGTGTTAAGTCAGTGGTTGATTAAAAATAAATTGTTTAAAAAACTTAACATTCAAATAACTTAATGTTTGAATTCCTTTGTATATTGTATATATATATATATATATATATATATATATATGGCAACAATTGAAAGAAAAAAAAAGAAAAAAAAGATAAAAGGTTAAGAAGTGAAGACAAATAATCGTGACACTCTACACGTACACATATCTGTGCAGACGAGTGCATGGACGCACATATACACTATGAAAAAAATCAATCAGACTTGCAGCAGTGGAAAGTACAGGTAAAAAAGAAAAATCGAGAAGTATAAACTGTCAATTGCTGATACCCACTGACGAGTGGACAGTGACTTCTGGAGGGTCTATCAATGAAACTCTGGAGTTGGGATGCTGATGGTAACATCAATCAGCTAAGTGACAAACCTTTTACTTGTATTAATTCTATCTGTCTCATTCTGTTTCTCTGCGTCTCATTCTGTTTCTCTGCGTCTCATTCTGTTTCTCTGCGTCTCATTCTGTTTCTCTGCGTCTCATTCTGTTCTCATTCTCATTTGTTTCTCTCATTCTGTTCTCTACGTCTCATTCTGTTTCTCTCTCTCATTCTGTTTCTCTTCTCTCTCTCTCTCATTCTGTTTCTCTGCCTCTCTCTCTCTCTGCCTCTCTCTCTCTCTGCCTCTCTCTCTCTCTGCCTCTCATCTCTATTTAGAATGATTGATACAAATAAAATTTGTCACTTACCTGATTGATGTTATAATCAGCACCTGAACTCCAAATTTCCTAGACAAACCCTTTTTGTAATTGTTCAGTCCACTTTTCAGGAAGTTTCAGCAATTGACAGCTGTTTTTCTCATTTTTCAATATTTTTATACTAAATTTGATGTAATTAATTTACGCACTAGTTGGGTGCTCTTATTGGTGTCAGATTGATTTATTTTTCTTTGTGTGTGTACACGTAATTAAAATTCATAATACTCATTAAAGTTTGACTCAGTTTTACAATTCCTCACCTGTCAGGACTCAGACAAGAAGGATTCTTGTCTTAGATCTGACAAGGGAGAAGTCATGAAACTGAGTCAGAATTTGGTAAGTATTGTGAACTTTAATTACTTCTGATACAATAATTATTACTCGAGTTTACTATCAGTTTATAGGCAGAAATTCTGGTCACCTTGGTATATGTTAAATTATTTTATTTACTATATACACACACACACACACACACACACACACACACACACACACACACATATATATATATATATATATATATATATATTATATTTATTTATTTGGGTTTTCAATTGTTGTAGAGTATTTGCAAGATTTGCAGTTATATGTGTAGAAAATTTTAACTTTGAAAATTTAAACAATGTATGTAGATATGTATTCCTAAATTAATATACATTTTGTAATAATTAATACAATCATTCTTGTCTTAGTTCTGACAAGTCAGGAGTCACAAAACTCTGTGTCAAACTCTGATAAGTATTGTAAAATTTAATTACTCCTGATACAATAATTATTGCTCAAGGTAATTATTGACCACTTTATTAGCAGACATTTTGTTTATCTTGAGATATGTTGAACTATATGATTCAACATATATTAATAGTTGGCATTACTATTATTTTATATATAAATAAATATTGATAGATTCTGTCATTTGCAGTCTGATGATTTACAAGACAAATGTGTACAGCAATAGAAAGTTGGCATACAATTTTTCTTAACTTGATCTTAGATTACAATGTATTTTCAAACATTGATTACTTTCTTAATTTTTATGCTTTTTCACAAAAAAGCTTAATCACTTTATACTTGTAGATATAACTGATATATATAAGGTCAAGAAAATCTTTTAAAAATCCATGGAATATATTTAAATATTCATCTCTTCAGTCTGAAGAGATGAATATTTAAATATATTCATGAAATAAATAATAAACTTGAGATGGATTTTAAGGATTTTCATAACTTATTATATTGTACTGTTACTTACATTGAGCTTTCTTTGGATCAATGTCCTCCTTAATATCCTACCAATTACCAATAGGTATTTTATATATATATATATATATATATATATATATATATATATGTCATTCACAGACAGCACTGTTTCACTGTATCACTTTCTACCACTAAGCTATCTTTATTCGACAGAGAAATAACTAAATCTAGCATTTCTTTTTACGAATGAAAACAAATGCCAATCAGCCGGAGTGCTCCAATTCATTTTACTGAAGAGCTTTGCATTAACACAGGTGGCTGTTGTTTATAGAATTAGCTTATAACTCAACAGTGCTCAATTGAAATATATTTTCAAGAGCTAAATTATGTCATTCGCAGACAGTAGTTTCGCTGTATCCCAGCTCCTCAGTGCGACTAGACATCCAAATACTTCAAGCCTGGATCGAAATCCAATTGATCAATCAGAGTTTCTACCACTATGGTGTTCAATAATTGGCATTACAAAGATTTTTATCCATCTGTATTGAACAAAAGAATCTGTAAATATTTTATGAAGCAGAAACAAAAAACAAATGTCCATAAATTTATTTGATACATTATCTATTCAATATAACCTCCTTCTGCATCAATAACTTGCTGAAGATGCCTGGTAAATGACTTGTATGAGGCATGAATAACACTTTGAGGATTTTGTTCCATTCCTTCAAGAGGTTTGCCTTCAGAGACTTGGGTGTGGCAGAAACCTTGTTTTCTAAGATGCTATTGTCAAGAGGATTCAGGTCTGGGGATAATGGAAGCCATTCTTCTTTTGGGATGAAGTGAGAATCATGGTTTGCTAGTCACTCTTGAGTTGTTTTTGCCACAAGAGAGGGTACTGAATCTTGTTGGAATAACCAATGTCAGTTTTTGAAATGTGTTTTAGCCTAAGTCATGTCGTCCAGTGCTTTCTGCATTCTGTTGAGGTTTCTTCTAGACTCGATGAATTAATTAATTATAATTATCTCAAATCATACTAATAATTTCCATCACTTGTAATATCCTTGCTTGAACTGGCTTCTAATGCTCTGGACTGAGCAACTTGGGGATGGTAGTCATGGCTTGTGGGGGCACAGTCCTATGAGTAAAGAGAAACTCGGATGAGTTCCACCACAGAATGTGATGAAGTGGTGCTTTATCAAGTCTAATTTGTTATCTCTTCATCACTGAGGCCCGTTGGTATGACATTTGCCTCCTATCATAACTGTTCGGGTTTCAATTCTCAGTAGTGGATGCAAACTGCTGATGAGTCCCAAATATAGGACGAAATGGTCATCCATTGCTTTCTGCATTCTATTGAGGTTTCTTCTATACTCAATGAATTACTTATCCATGATTATTTCAAATCCTCCTAATTATTTCTATCTATCTATCTATCTTCAAATGACTAAATATAAATAAATATATGTATAAGTGTTCATATACAAACTCTGAGTTGTACAGTCATCATATGACATTATGTATATTTATTAATGCATATATGACATGAAGAAAAAATAACCAGAGACAAAACACCATTGAAAATGTCTATAGAATTGTCTGAAAGTGCTTGAGACAATTTTTATATTCCTTAAATCCTACAAAATGCAAAAGTTTTAGGATGCTGGAAAAACTTAGAATATTAATTCAATCTTCCTTGTTGGCCATATGCAATGAAAGATGTTTAAAAGAAAGGTTGATACCAATATATATATATATATATATATATATATACCCAAGTATATGATTGGTGTATATGGAATAAATTCCAATAACCAACAATTACTATTCTTAAAAGAGTGCTCAATACAAGTAGAGCGAATATAATTATTTATTTAAAAATTATAACAGAAATATGTTATAAAGATCACTACAAAAATAGCCATTTTGTTTCAACACCTCTGGTGTCTTATCAAATGATGATGTTGAATGTAGATTGTAGAATAAAGGTTTAAAGGTTCAAATTAATTACCACCCCTCATAAGGGAAACGCTGTTACATGAGCTGAAAGGATCAATCAAAATACAAGTATAATTGATTGGTTTAACATCTTCTCTGAGTTGATTTTACAAGCTCATGATAGACACCAGAAGTGTTGAAACAAAATATGTTCTTTATATTTCTATAGTACAAATAAATAATTATATAAATATATATATATATATATATATATATATATATATATATATATAAATATATATAAAAGTTTCAGAAAAGAGTTTCTTGATATATTCTGTGAATGAACTTTGATTTTGAGAATTTATAATTTGGTAGTGTAATCATTTTTGAAAGACCTTAAGTGGGTTGGGGTTATGTTGAGATGGTGAAGGATGTTTATTAGAAGAGGGCCAAATCTCTGTGGGTAGAAATAATCTTAATTCCCAACCTCTTCCCAGCACTACCATCTGCTCTACCACCCAGCATCCATCAGCCTTCCTTCCTTTTGATTAAGCAAACAAGAAGAAATGATGAAGACGTCCTGCCGAATATTGACCAGATTTTCTTCATCAGTTGAAGAATTTTACTTAGCAAAACACAGAAAGAGATAAAGTGGGGGTGATAGAAAAAGAAAAAAAAAAAGTGTGTGTGTGTGTGAGAGAGCTAAAGAGAAAGAGTTAGCAAGAGAAAGTGAGAGAAAATGAAAGAAAGTGAGCATAATAGAAAAAAGAATGTGAAAGAACAAAAGAGCAAGAAAAAGTGGGCGAGAGAGAGAGAAAGTGAAACAAAATGAGGGTGATAGAAAAGAGTGAATGAGGGCAAAAGAGCAAGAAAGAGTGGGTAAGAGAGATAAAGAGTGGGTAAGAAAAAGTGAACAAGAAAAAGCGTGAAGAGAATAATAGAAAAACAGTGCAAGTGAGAACAAAAATGCAAGAAAAAGTGAGAAGAGAAAAAGTGAGTGAAAGAAAAGAGTTCAAGTAAGAGCAATAGTGAGAGAGAAAAAGTAACAATAAGTGCAAGAGAAATAAAGAGTTTGATTGATTAATTTTTACAGCTTATCAACTCTTTATTGGCTATTTAAAGGCAAAATATTTTGGATTATAAGAATAATTATTTTTTGTGGATAATAAGGAATTTTTCCTGATACAAGTTCTACTATTTAATCCATAAGTATGGGAAAATACATAGTAAGCGAGAAAGTAAAAGTGATAGAAAAAGAGTGAGATTGAGAGCAAAAGAAGAGATTATGCAAGAGATAAAGACTGGACAAGAGAGACTGCAAGTGAGCAAGAGAAACAGAAAGCCAAAGAAAGTGAAAAAAAAAAAACACAAGAATGAAAATGGAAAAAAGAGAGTGAAGACAAAAGCAAGAAAAAAGAAGCAAGAGAACAAAAGTGAGAGAAAATGCACAGAAAGGAGTGAGAGAAAAAGAGAAAGAAGAATGAGAAAGAAAAAACAGAAGAGAAAAAGCAAGCAGGTGAAAATTAAGAGAGAGTAAGCAAGAGTAAGTGAATGAAAAAAGAGCATTAATGTGAGAGTGAAAGCTAAAGGAACAGAAGAGAGAAATGGGGTGAAGTCAAATAAAAAGTAAACAAGAGAACAAAAGAAAGTGAGAGTGAGTGTGAGAGAGTGATAAATAAATGTAAGTAAAGACTGAATGAGCAAGAGAACAAAAGTGGGAGAAATAAAGAATAAAACAAGAGAGAATAATGCTAAAAGAAAGAACTAGAGAGAAAGTGAACAAAATAGAGAGAGAATGATAGTAATCATAGCTATATATATATATAAATATATATATATATATATATATATAATAAGCTGAGGTACCTGGTGTTGCCCAGGTGTACATGGCAGCAACTGTATAACTGCACAACCCTGTATACTCTCCCTCCAGTCTAGAAATGTCTGCTTGTGTTTCCACTTGCATGCATCATCTGTTGGCATACTAAGCTACTCCCCCCACTCATCTTTTTTACAGTATGTCCTTCACAAGTGTTTGATTGTTCTTAATAAAGGAATTCCATCAATAAAGCCTTCCTATGTGGTCATTGCTTGGGGTCAAATTGTTTCAATGTTTTAGATATTCAGTAAATCTCCTATGGCCATAATAACTTTCAAATAGTATGGTATTGTTCACAAATCTAATAATGAAACGAAACCAGGGATGAAGTATCAGAGCTTCAAGTGCAAATACATGAATGACCCCCTCCCCCCCACCGATCCTTCTTCACACATTTGCTGTAAAGCAGGGTTAATAAGAGGTTCTTCGGGAATTTTTCCCTTTTAATGCTTCAATAATTCTTCTCAAACAATATTTGCATCAAGGTTTGTTTAAATGCCAATTTAGCATGGAATTATATGAAGAAATTATTGGCTAAATACCTAAAGCAGATATTGGACCTAGATTATCACAGATTTTGTCCACTTAACTGAAATAGTCTAAACCAAACATTCATGTAAGACAATTTGTGTGTTATATGTAATTTACATGGCAAATTTGGAAAGCTTCAGATGAAAAACCAGGGAGTTATGGCTGAAAAACAGGATTTTTTAACAATTTTTTGTGCTTTTTTGGTATATGTGGGGAAGCAAGCAGTACTAAAACCACACAATCTTATTTCTTGCATGATGGCAAATGTTTAAGAAAATCTGATTAAAAATGAGGGAGTTATTCAAGTTTTTAATTTAGATGACAATTTATTCATTGCAATTTGTATATATGTTAAAATTTTTAGATATATCTAAAACTATATCTGTTAAAAGACAATATGAATAAAGACAAAAGGAAAACCATTTTATCTTTCTACACACACACACACACACACACACACACATATATATATATATATATATATATATATATATATATATATACATACACACACACACACACACACACACACATATATATATGGCATTGGCTTCTATAAAAAGCTCACCTGCCATCTGGGTGACCTGCCACCTGCCTCACCAGCAGAAAAGTTAGTGAGGGAGCTGTTTTAGATGCCAACCAATTTCTCATGCAAACCATTGTACTGGGTTACATGTCACCAATTTGATGTGTAAAATATTTGTCTCTGACTTCATCTTGTTCACTATTAATTCTACTTTGCATAGATTGGAACATCAGGACATTGATTCCTATTATAGCAATGGCTAAACTAATGTCGAAGTTGAAAAACAAGGAATTTTTGTTATTTGAAGATCAAATTATTTCCTCTATGGTGAAGATGGATGAAAAATATTTTGAACACAAAAATAATCAGTTTTTCTATGAGCCACATCTCTTCAGGACATAGGCAATCATGGCTCTCCACAACTTTCTATCCCTTGTGAAGTTTAGCATTTTTTTCTCCCTTTGTTTAGCCTCCTGTGCTCCCTTTCTGCCATCCATTAATGCAAGTTTATCTAGTAGGTGGCTCATAGCCTTCTCCTATCTCTCTTGCCCTCGATATGCTCCATGAGGGTCAAATTTTCCAAGCCCTCTTTTCTCATTATGTGTCCAAGGAATTTCAGCAATCTTTTCCTGATGGAATGGAAGTGTTCTTTTTGTTGCCATTTTATTTAAAACTTCCTTGTTGCTTCAGTATCTGTCTATATTTCTGAGATGAGGTATTATGTACACTATTTACATTATTCGGACTATTGTCCTCATCTTTGTCACCAGGTTTATCAAGGACACATGGCATAGTGGATAAAGGCATTAGTTAGACCCAGTGACAGCACCCAAAGAGTGTGAGTTCAATACCTGGTTAAGGCAGTGAAGAACTTTGAGAGGGGAATTAACAGGAGATAACTGACATCCATTAGACATGGCATGTGGAACTAGAACAGTCTACCCCAGTGAGCAAAATAAAGGGTTCAGTTCGACATTCCAACCGCCTGAAGAAGGCCCGGGCATACAACGGCTGAAACATTGTAATAAACATCGCGACAAAGATGAGGATAATAGTCTGAATAATATAAATAGTGTTCCTTGTTGCTTATTCACTCCATCCTTGGAATTTTCAGTATCCTCCTGTAGAGGCACATTTTTGCTGTTTCATCCATGGGGTGATTGTCCAACATTTACTACTATATAAGAGGATGGATATCACATAGAAATCCAGCAGTCTTTTGTTTTCAATTCTTTATTTTAAAGGTGTATGTAGGAAGAGGGGTACCACCAGGGCTGAAGTTAAAAGAAGAGAGGCCCTAGATTTTTATTACTTAAATGTTCTTTTTATTGGATATTCATATTTCAGTAGACAATCCATTTATTTATTAAATACTATTTATTTTTCTTCTATTGGCCTGTATATTCAAGTGGTAGATGAAAATAAATAAATATATTGTTTAATAAATAAATGCTTGAGCATTCAGGCATGAAATAGTGTTGTGACTCAGTGTTGACCTCAGTGTCCACTTTCATATATATATATATATATATATATATATATATATATATATATATACAATGACAGACGATTATCACTGTCTTGTCTGTATATTGCTTAATATGCTGTAATTGACATCTTTGATAATGGCTTAAGTAAGCCAAAAGCTTAGATTGTATTAAAAAAAAATATGGATCAATATTGTTCAATGATAATGTTATTAAACTTATCAGATGTTACAAAAAAAATTTACATAAAATAAATAGACAATACTTGTCTATATTATTTAATGAAACGTGTATATATATGTATAAGTTCATCACATGAAAAATTCAGGTGACCTCCTAAACAAATTAAAAAATTATAGACATTAAAAACAAATATATAGCTAGTTTAGACATAAAATCTCTATACACAAACATCCCTATAGAGAAATGCTTAAATCTACTAAAAACATCTAACAAAAGCAAAAATTAAATTACTTCTACCTACACATAAAATCATGAAAATATGCTAGCTAATCACCAAACAATTTTCTTTACATTTGATAACCAATATTGCAGACAAAAATTTGGTTTACCAATGGGGTGTATATATATATATATATATATATATATAATACAAGTAAAAGGTTTGTCACTTGTAAGGCTGCTCAAATTCCCGCATTCTCACAAGTAAAGAAAAATGGAAGAGTTTTAAATTTGAACAATTTGAGTAAGGATGGTATTTAAAATTACTGAAGAGTCATTTAAAGTCTACAATGCATTGTGACGGTATGTGTAAGAAAGACCTATGACAATGTCAAAAATATACATCTTGGTTGGAGGCCCCCATAGATTTTGAGACCCGAGGCTTCAGCCTGCTAAGCCTATAGGTAAATCTGGCACTGAATACCACATAGCAATCTAGCACTTTTTTTTTATTTTTATTTCCAGCAAAATTTTTCTAATTCTCAGTACCTTTTTAACTTTTGGAATGCTTCTTTCACTTGTCCAATCTCGATGTTACATCCTCCATCCTCTGTTAAAACACTTCCTGGATATTTAAACCTCTGTACTTGCTTATAAAATGTACCAAAGTTTCAGAGACCCCATTTTCCAAGTCTAACTTTTGTCAGGAAGTGTTCATAAATCCTGAACATGATTGTAGCCTAAACAAAAAAAGGAGGTTTCTTTGATTTGAAAATGATGGTCTCTAGGGTAAAGTAAGAATCTAATTTCCTTTCTGTTTAGTTTGAGGTCCATCATGATGTTGTGATGTTTAAACAAAGGCCAACCTTGGCATCATCTGCCTGACAAAATACACCATCTGCCAATTCTGATGGGGAGAGGAAAACTGTTTGCATAAACAAACATAGAGAAATAGCAGAACTTCTTCCTGAGAAATGTATATCATGAAGCCTTCTTGAAGTGAAAAAGAGCTTAAACCTTTTTTTACCCCTGTGTAAAATTTTAAGCAAAATGTAATTATCTGGTAATTGTGGAAAAAAAATGTAAGTAAAAGTATTTATGTGACTATATATCAAGTTTTATGCTTTTATGCCCGTGTGTGTGTGCGCGCGCAAGTATAATACTTGGACATTCCCACACACACTCACACACATTTCTAAAGAAAGGGAAGGATTTTTTTGTTTATTAATCCAACAGATTTTTATTACTTAAATGTTCTTTTTATTGGATATTCATATTTCAGTAGACAATCCATTTATTTATTAAATACTATTTATTTTTCTTCTATTGGCCTGTATATTCAAGTGGTAGATGAAAATAAATAAATATATTGTTTAATAAATAAATGCTTGAGCATTCAGCCATGAAATAGTATTGTGACTCAGTGTTGACCTCAGTGTCCACTTTCATAAAATTATGAAAATATGCTAGCTAATCACCAAGTAATTTTCTTTACATTTGATAACCAACATTGCAGACAAAAATTTGGTTTACCAATGGGATATATATATATATATATATATATATATATATATATATATGTGTGTAATACAAGTAAAAGATTTGTCACTTAGCTGATTGATGTTACCTTGAGCATCCTGACTCCAGAGTTTAGACAGACTTGTCTGTTCACTTGTCAGTAGGTATCATCAATTGATTGCTTATACTTCTCAATCCTTCTTTTTTATATGCACTTATCATTGGTGCAAGTTTTTTCTTTTTTTTTTTATAGTGTATCTGTGTGCCCATCTGCACAGATCTTGATTATTTGCTCTTTTTGTTATGAGGTCAACACTCAGTGGCAAGAGTCTGTTTTATGCTTAAATGCAATCATCAGACCAATTTGTGTTATGTTTTGGCTCAGCTATTTATATATGTTGACCAGTGATTCATTATGGGTAGGTCTTTTGTTGTAATAGTTATTGGATGGGTGGTAACAGTTATGTTTCAAATTATTCTAGGGGCTATTAAGTGAAAATAATTGAGAATCTAAATGCAATTTTGTGGCTATTTTATAGTGTTGTTAACTTTATTCTTGATTGCATTTTTATTTGGAGTTGATTATTATATTTATTTGTGTTTATGTGTGCATTCATAGTTTAATAATTTGTTTATTATTTACTTAATTATTGATTTGAATGAATTTATTCTACTTATTTATATATTTTTATTAACTTATTTTTTTATTTATTTATTTTTATTTGTTCGTTTTTAGTTTTTGATTTTTAAGTAATATAGTAAAAATTTGTTTTTGTGAATGCATTTTGAAGTGAGTTCTGATCATTTATTTAGTAATTTGTGTTGGTCTGCGAAGATAATTTTAGATATTTTCTCATCCAGACAGTGTTTAAATTTTTTGTATTTGTTGTAGACTGATGCTGTTTTCCTTATTTTTGGTGTGATTTAGTTTTCATTTTTAATTTCCCATACATGTTTAGAAAGTGTTCTCTTGTTTGCGTATTTACTATTTGTAAAGGATGTCCTGTGTGCATAGTTTCTTTGCTTCCAGGGTCCTTCAGTTACTGCTAAGTATATTTTTTCTTGTGATCTGCTGATTTTCCAGTGGCTTGGTATATTACATTGTTCTGTAAGCAATTTCCACTTAAGGAACATTCATTTGTTGCTCTGCAGTTACATGTGTTTGATTTGTACAGTTAGGTGATTGGTTGTTTTCTTGTGTTTTTTTATTTGTCATTCTTGGTGCAACTGTAGCTAATTTTTACTATGTTTTTTTAATATCTTTTGGAGAGTGTTTGTGTATGAGTTTAATGAATATTTTTCTTACATTTATTTTTATGTTTCTGTTGTATGGTGAGTTGAACTATATATTTCTTTTCCTGTTGGCTTTTCTTTTTTTTTTTTTTTTTTTTAGCTGTATGGTGATTGTTGCTGAAAAACCATTATCTTATTATATACCTATTTTTGCACCTCCTGTATATAATATGTGTGTCAGTGTTCACCAATGAACAAAATGTTATGATAGCACAGCTATGGTAGTACTTATGTTGGGATGGTTATTTAAATTTATCTCAACCAGCAATTTGATTAACAGTAAGTAGATAATACTGCATCATTGGAATATATACAAAATCTTTGAAAAGTTTTGAGTCCAAAAATAACAGTGATTTTTCCAACATTGTCTCATCAATCTATTATTGGAATCTCTGCAGATTAAATATTCTTTAATAGAAACACGGTAACACAATATTACTGGAAGGAGTGCAAAATTATCAAAAGTTAGTAGTCCAAAAATAACAGCTAAATGTTACCAAATCCGCTTAAGGTCATGAATGTTTAAATCAAATTTGCATTATAATTTAAATGTGTAAGAATAATTTTGGCATATTGACAACTGCAATAACAAATGTGTCTTCCTCTTGTCAGTTCAGAAGAGGATATTTGACATAGCAATTGTCAATATGCCAAATAAACCTACTTATTTTCAATTGTCTTGCTTAGCTTATCTATGGAGGTGGGGATATATTCCAAGACACCCCAATGGTGGGCAGAAACAGTAAATAGTACAGAACTATCAGGTTGGTCATAAAGTTTATTAAATAGAAAATTTACTTACAAAACCAAATACGCTTTTTGGTCAACCCAATATACAGGGTGTTCATAAAGTTCATGTGCACTTTAAAAAATTTATAACTTTATTTGTATTTGTGAGAGAAATAATTTGTAAAAAGGATTAGAAAGAAGTAAATCTGTATTTTTTAAGATTTTATTGAAATTTTATTTAAGTTTCTACATGTTTGCAGTTCACAGAAAACATTTGCCAACTGATTTACAGTAATGCCTGAAATCACATTAGTTATTTTAGCTGTACTTAAAACTAGGTACATTAAACTTTATAACATTTTTACAGATTATTTCTATTGCAAATACAAATAGTTATAAATTTTTTAAAGTGCACACGAACTTTATGGACACCCTGTATATTATGTTTTTTCTATACATATCAATGATAAAATTTGATTCATAAATTAGGCACAATAAGATTTTCAACAGTAATTAGTAATAAAATAGAACAAATGTGACTATAATTTTTTTTATACTATTGTTCAACTAATACAAGGCCCAAGAGCCACTCCAAGTAGAAGGTTACTGAATGAGATTGTTGTAAGGGAGCAATAAAGTAATGCATATTATAAGGATAGATAGATGGTGGTTGACTTGAGCTTTGAAGAGGTCAAAATTGTTCCGACTAGTGCAGCATCTACTTGAGAGCCTATTTTACAAAGTAAGAGTTCTGGGGAAGAGGTTGTCTTAGTGGAACTTCCTTTTTACCAATGGAATCCAAAGGGAATAAAGATGAGTCAACCCTGTTTATGGGGCATGATGGATTCTAGCTGTGAAGGTCTGAATTGGTGGAACTGGAAAAGGTAGCTCATCTGAACATTCCTATGGAAATTACGATAGTGTATAAAGAGGCTGGAAACATTTCTTTTGTAGGAAAGGGGTTTTAGGGTGAAAAGCAATACAACACTCACTGTGTAAATGTTTTTAAACTCTATCAAGGCAGGAAAGTACTCTCTATACTTTTTCCCTATTTCACCTTTCTTAACACAATTACTGCTCTCCCAAACAAAAATACACAACAATATCGTAAAATCAAAAGAAAATAGTTGAATCCACCAACACAGTTATAATGACAATATTCTCCACACATGACAATAACTGATGTTATTTTCAGTTAACAATATGAAAATAGCGTTCTCTACATTCCTCCAGTTGCTAAGAACATTCTGTTTTTTGTTATTATTAGTTACGTTCTTTAATTAAATTCATTTCGTTTTTGGCTTTGAGAAAGTCCACATTGGACGAAACGCATCAGCAATGACTACAGTTTTCCTATTGTCATTTATATTTATAAATATTGTCTTTTCTACAGGTTAACTCTGAGAAATTTTCACACAACATAAGATATACAGATGACACAGTGTTGCTAGTAGATCTGGAAAGGAAAACTAACAAAGTTCCTACAGAAGGTAGAAAAGAAAGAAGGAAGGACTAAACATGAACTACAAGAAGACTGAACACATGGTTGTTAGTAAAATGCAAATTACAAATCGGAAATATCAAAATCAAACAAGTACAAAAATTTAAATATCTGCAATGTGTTTTAATAATAATGAATTAGAACCATTATAATGATATACTCTAATAAAAGTTGTGTGACATCAGAAGATTCAGTCTTACTGTAGATCTTAGCAACCTCAGTGTGTTTTTTTTTTTTTTTCATTAAATCAAGATCTTGCCTTCACAGATACAAGGTGCTGAAAAATTCTCATCCTAACCCATTTCCCCCAAATCAGTATTTCAATGACAGACATCAGAATACTGAGTTCTCCACAGAGAATTATCCTACAGTACAATACTGATATGTCCCGGAAAGGGATATATTTGTTCAAAGGAGCAAAGTGGTTTTGGACTACTGTAACCAAGTAGGACAATCTAGCAGGTAACCATAATGGACTAGTCCTCATTGTAGTGGTAGGCAATAGGCGAAGACAATATGCATCCCTGTACCTCCACATCAGTCTGTATTTATGGCTGACACAAGCCAATCATATTACTGTGAGGGGGAACCCAGGTGTATACATATTCATTACATAAAATACCCTAGTGAATTAAAGTGTTGGTTCATGAATTTGATGACATAAATTGTGAGTTCAATCCCTGTGAAGGGTAGTGTGTATTTGGACACAGTGGAAATAGGGTGAGCAATAACTGAGCAGTTCCACCATGACAAGGAGATGCCATGCCACTTACATTGTAGCAAACCACCTACATTACCTCTGTATTCCATTGGTGAAAATTAAGTTCTAATTGAATGAACCACTGCTCTGTGGAACAGACTCCCAAGAGGATGTTTCCTTGATCACTACAATCT